CCTGCGCCCCAGGCCCGGCCCGCCGCCTTCCCGCCCTCCGCTCAGCCGGCCGCCGCCTTCCCGCTCCCCCGCGCCTTTCTCCGCCCCTGCCCCCTCGGGCTGCACAGCCGTTTCCTGAGAGGGGGCAGGAGTACTGGCAGTGGGATTTGCGGTGTGTGCCGCGGGCAGACGCTGGTGGCTTCCTCCACTCGGGGCTGCGCCTTCCTTGGTGTGGGGCTGCTCCTCTGCCACCGCCTCACTGCCCACCTGCGGCCTGCGTGCTCCTCCAGCCTTACTTTTAAATGAGATGATTACAAAATGTATTTGTCAAAGCTGAATCTAGAACCCAGCTTTCAGGAACCGCTGTTACTCTCAGGGAGCTCAGAAACCTCAGTCAGCGTCTCAGCCCCTGGCTGGGGTGGTGCTGGCGGCCATGTAGCCACAGGGCCCAGCAGCTGCAGGGTCACCAGAGGGTGGTTTTCAAGCTAGCTGTGAACATGTACTCTTCTGAGTAAATGTATTATAAAAGCAGGTTTAATCGGCTGAAAGATGGGGAAGGCGCAGGAATCGCTGCTGCTTTTCCTCATGGGAACCTGGAGCCATAGTTGGACAAGGTGGCTCAGTGCATCCCAAGGCAGGCAAAGGTGGGGTCCTTCTCCACTGCTCTTCTCACGCCACGAATGAGCTAGTGCAGATCATTGTGCTATCAGAAAACTGACTCATTTTTTATTGTAGGTTTCTGCCAGCTAAATCTCAATAAGTTTACTGTGTGGGCGATTTAGTACATGGAAGAGGAGAGAGCAACTATTTTTTCATCAGGAAAAAGTCATTAGATCAACTCAGCCTTCTTGTCTAGTGGCACCCCATGTCACTTTTGAGATGAGTGAAGGTGTTCCAAGCTTGCACTGGAGTAACAGAAGAAAAACTGGCTGAAATACAGCAATTTGTATAAGAGGCTGCTTCATGTAATGAAAACACCTCGTAATTTCCAAGAAACACTTCAGAACTGTTTTTGGTTTTGTTTTTTTTCTAACAACTGCACACATGTATTAATTAATCTTTAGAAGAATATAAAATTTGCATTAAGTGTTGATATAGACAAAACAGAGAAACGAATACCTAAGATCCCATCCGTGGAAGATAATACAGGTTTTTTCTCTTATGCACAACTGACTGTGTATATGCAAATGAAAACATAGGAACTCTCTGGGTGTCTCAGTACGGGATAGGATTGCAGTTACAAATATTTTGATGATAGTTGTCCTTACTTTTATCCCAACATACTTCTTTCCAGACCATGAAAAATTTTCTGGGAATTGGCTGTAAGATCTTTCACTATAAAATGATTGTTACTTTTGTTCTTATCTGCATTTTTCAGAGTGGCATTAGACAGTCACTTCTGGTAACTGCCGCAGAGTAATGCAGACAGATGAGTATGTGCAATGTCATGTTAATTCAGGGCTAGAAATCTATAGCCACTCTTGGTGAAGTATTATACAGTATAACCGACTAACAACCCCACATGTATCTGGTTAATGGTTTGGTTTATAGAATTATTTCTAGAATGATAGTGTTACATTCTTGAACTTTTATTTGTAGATGTCGGGAGATCAGCATGGTGATCGCTCTATTCGAGAGGGAGATAATGAGGATTACGATGATGTAGTTGATGCAAAACCAGACAGAAGTAGCAGATTCTCACTTTTTGGAAGGTAAGTTGCTCCTTCTATTCCTGTTATTGTATCAGCTGTCATAGTACCCTTCTAATGGGATTTTGGTGTTCAGTTTGCCATGTCTACAATGTCATAGATGGTCTAGATAGGGAGATGGTTTATGTTGTATAGTTTTAATATATCTCTCTGTAGTATCTCCCTATAGAGAGACCTATAGTATCTCCCATAAGCTTTATTTGGTAGTCAAGAGACCACTAAGTTCATTTAGCATCAATTATAGTCCCTCATCTTAAACATTGCCCTTTGGTGGAGCTGGGAATTAAATATGCCATTAATTATCTATTTTACTGCATTCAGCTCAGCTAATCTCCTGCATCATTGGAATCCCCTGCTGACTATTTAAGTTAATGTAAAGCTTAGATATGCCATCTAGGATGTAGCGCAAAGAAGCCTCACTGAGTCTAGAGATGTAACCCATTACAGAATAAATGAAAAGCCTTTCATTTTAAAACACAGTAGCCTCACTGAAGCATAAGCTTATTTTCATTAAATGTATAGCAAGAACTATGTACTGCTTGTCTGTACTGCTGAAAACACTAAATAAATGTGATTGAAAATGCAAAAGATGAAAAATGAACATACAAAATTTACAAATACTATTGAATGTCAGCAAATGGCTACTTCACATTGTGAACATGGATCTAGAGAGATTTTGTTAGAGGTGTTAATTGCAAAGGCTATTGTATTTACAGAGAGGTTTTGATTTTTTTTGCTATTGGACATTCACATTCAAGTGAACAGTATAATTCAAGAAAGTACATTTTGCTGCTAATTATATGTCTGATGGAGTGACAAATGTGTGAGAAGTGAAGATTCTTTAGTCTTAGAAGACTTTTGATGTTCTGTTAAGCAAATCATTTTGTCTCATTTTATCATTCCACAAATATGTTTTATGGTGTGTATGTGTATTATTAATTTTAACAGAATCACATCATGCAAAATAGACAATGTAACATTTGTTTCTATATCTTGTCAAACATTTTTCAAAGGTTTCTTTTAAACTTTATAAAATGCATGTTTTAATATCGGTTGGTCTTCTTTATAAGAGGTGATACACTAATACTGTTACTAAATTATGCACCTCAAAGTTAATCATTCCTGAAGGAATCAGCATTTCTATCACTTTTTTTCTGTAAGAAACTTTTCAACTAAATTTGCTATGCATCAGTTTGAGACATTCATCTTTTGGGAACTTCTTGAAGATACAATTTGAGACTTTTCTTTAGAAGTAAAAAATTGCTCAGATTAAATATGAAGTAATTGAAAAGATTCAACTTAGATTTTGTAGAAAAAAAAATTAAGTCTGAGAAATCTATCAGAGTTTCTTGAACATGATGATTGCCTAAAGAGGAGTTAGCTGGTTGACAGTGAAGGTCTTTGTCTTATAGAAACTAAAACTCTTTGACCTGAAGGAAGATAGGAATGTGAGAGGATAAAGGAAGATGGGATGTGATCTAAAATTGTGACTGTAATGGAGGAGAAGGTGATTAGAGAATGATTATTCCTTGTGAGATCTAAATGATGTCCGATGAAAAGTTGATGCAGTAGTTTTGAAACAACCAGTAAGTTGTAGTTTTCACATAGTGCAGAATGCAGTTGTAGAACTTAAAGTCACAAGATGAGTTCAGAAGAGATTATATTTATTTGTGGAAGAAAAGTCCAGTCGGAGTATTGATGTTAAAATCTTTGGTGCAAGACATTCCTAAGTCATATTTCTCTGAGAATATATTCAATATCCAGTTTCTTTTGTTGTTTTCTTAAAACTCATTACTCGTCAGGACCAGATACTAGGCTAGATGTAGGTTTAGTTTGAACCAGCATGGCTCTGTGTTTTGATTGCCAGGGCTTCATTCTGGCAACGTGAAACGAATACCTGTAAAATAAGATGTCTAAAATGCTTTAGATTAACTGCAATTTGGTCCCTTGTTTTGATTTAGCAACCCAGTTTTTATCAGCTGTGCAGTACTTTCAGTGAAAGTCAACATTGTATTTCATTTATTATTGCTTAAAATACATAAGCTCAATAGGAAAACAACTTGGATTGTTATATAAGCATATTAATCTTGATTTAAGAAAACAGAACAGTGAGAAACTGAATTCAAAGCTGTGCAGAAAGACCAGCTATTTCCAGTAGCATTAGAGCTCCAATTCACCATTCTCTGGGACTGGAGATTTATCTAGCAAGAGCTGTAAGTAGAAATAAGAGAAAATCTTACTCACCACAGCATATTTTCTCTAAGAAGTCTGTGAGCCTGCTTTACCGTGGAGGCCACGAGGCTCAAGAAGAAGCCACAGAGTGGACAGGTTCCTCTGGCTGCACCACAGTTTAGGGGAATTATCTTCTACATATTTCTTTTTCTTTGAAAAAGTGTTAGGACCTAGTTAATGTTGGTGGGGAAAAACTGTTTGGTGGGGAGAAGAGTTGAAAGAGCTAATTTTTGAATTAACATCTGCCGGTGATGTTTGGTTTAGGGGTTTTTAACCACTAGATGGCAGGAAGGTATCAATTTTGTTTACTGCAAAAACGTGGACAAAAGTTAGGGCGCGTTTCGGTTCAGCAAAAAGTTATGTTCCAGGAAACAGAAATAGTAGGATACACTCTAGCAAGCCGGCATACAACAAAATTTTAAAACGTGGTTAAAGAAGGACTGAGCTGAGGATTTTATAAGTGTATTTAATTCTTTATGTGATAGAAACGAATAGAATTTTTACCATATAAATTTTTCTTTTTATGATGTATGTGTTCCTGTTACACTTTCAAGGCTTTAAAAATAGTCTCACTTCTCCACAGGATGATTTAATATCTTCATTTCTTATCTTTTGGCTTTTATTAGGGAACTCTGTTAGGGAGATTGTTAGCAGCAAACCTATTTTAGCATCCAGAAAACATAATGTAACATGAAACAAAATAAAATTGTGTTTCCACTGTATTAAGCAGAGATTTCGTTTAGTCGTAATTAAAGTTGTTTTTTTAAAAAAAAGCTTCATCTGAAAATTCCTAAGGCTTGGTAGACTCACACTTGTGCTGTCAGTAATCATGACTGTTTGTGGGCTTCAGTGAAGAAGCATAATGCAGAAGCAGGTGGTTGTTAGTAGTATCTAGTTACCAGTTTTATTCTAGTTTAATTGTATCAAACCATTTGTCCCCTGGTGACTTTTATCTACTTCAGCCCTACTGTCTTCTTTTACAGTCAGTATTCCCCTTCTCATCTGGAAACAGACAACATAATGTAAATATATACTTAAGAACTCTTACAAATACCTAGTTAACAATTGAAACTGTGAATCTGTAGTGCCCTTAATGCAGAAACATGAAATACATTGTAAGATAATCCCTCTGAGGAATTTGAGAGGTTTGTAGGGTACACTGACCTATAGTCACCAAGAGTACTTCATCTGTTTAACACTGCAAACACAAAATATCTGTAAGGTATTTATTTCTGTCAAGCCAAGCCATTATAAAGTTTGTTAGTTTTCATTTTAATTAATTTGAAAGTTTGCTGCAAGCACCAGTGTGTGTCTTGCCTTCTGTAGTTCAATAGTTATGATAGTTACATAGTTATATTATCTGCCATGTTTGTAAACTACTATTTAGATCAAAAAGATTCACGGATACATAGGGTTTCTTTTCATTTGTACGGTGTTTATTTGGGTTACAGGGCATCAAAGTAGGGAAGCACAGATGTTACCAAAGGTGTCTGTTTAACCTTCATGACCCTTGTCTCAGTACAGCCATATTTTTCAAAATAAATAGCCTTGTCCTTCAAAGAATAAATATTCGGTTTTGAGATTCAGCCTCAGCTTAACCTCAGCTTTGGAGCTATAACAGGTGTGGAAACTTGTCTTTGTTTCAGCTTTGCTCTTCTGTTGTTCTGTCTTTTGGGGAGCTATTTTCCATCCACTTTTGATTACGAAAAGCTTATTTTTATTTGCTTTGTAAGAAGCTGCTTTGCAGATAGAACTTCATTGAAGAACAGTTTCACAGTGATGCAGATGCATATGTTTTCCAGAGTTGCACATTTTGTATTTTTTGGGCCATTTGAAAACACTGGGCCTGATTTGTGGTGGGCTGACCCTGCCTGGATGCCAGGTGCCCACCAAAGCTGCTCTATCACTCCCCCTCCTCAGCTGGACAGGGGAGAGAAAATGTTATGAAAGGATCATGGGTTAAGATAAGGGCAGGGAGGGATCTCTTACTGTCTCAGGCAAGACAGACTCAACTTGGGGAAATTAGTTTAATTTATTACCAATCATATCAGAGTAGGGTAATGAGAAATAAAGCAAATCTTGAAAGCACCTTTCGCCACTCTTCCTTTCTTCCCGGGATTAACTTTACTCCAGAGTTCTCTACTCCTCCACCCCACAGTGGCACAGGGGATGGGGAACCAGGGTTGTGGTCAGTTCATCACGCTTTGTCTCTGCTGCTCCTTCCTCCTCAGGGGGAGGACTCCTCACACTCCTCCCCTGATCCAGCATGGGGTCCCTCCCACAGTAGACAGTCCTCTATGAACTTCAATATGAGTCCTTCCCATGGGCTGCAGCTCTTCATGAACTGCTCCAGCATGGAGCCCCCACAGGGTTACAAGTCCTGCCAGCAAACCTGCTTCCTCCATGGGTCCATTAGGTCCTGCCAGGAGCCTGCTCCACCGTGGGCTTCCCACAGGGTCACAGCCTCCTTTGGGCATCTTCTGCTCTGGTGTGGGGTCCTCCATGGGCTGCAGGGGGGTCTCTGCTCCACCATGGACCTCCATGGGTGCAGGGCACAGCTACCTCACCATGGGCTGCACCACGGGCTGCAGGGGAATCTCTGCTCCAGAGCCTGGAGCACCTCCTCCCCCTCCTTTTTCACTGACCCTGGTGTCTGCAGAGTTGTTGCTGTCACATATTCACATTCCTCTCTCCAGCTGCAGTTGCCATTTGTGTTTTTTCCCCCCTTCTTAAATAGATTATCCCAGAGGCACTACCACTGCCACTGATGG